GTACAATTTAAGCCCTAACTCGTCTTAGGATTCTGAGGTTGTCGTCTGTCACGACTTAAACCCTCACATCTTTCAGGCTATTTGGGTGATCGTTTCACACGAATGTAAGTCTTGACAAATAAAATTGGTAGGATACAACACCTAAATATTTCTCCTTAAAACTGAAGCCAAATAAAAGGATAGATGGGAAGTCACCGAGGTTCTCCTTCGGATCTATGACATCCCCTAGTTTTTCCTCCTTTGGATTCTACAATAAATGTTCCAAATTTGAGTCATTCAAATTTGAGTCAATATCATTTAACACCTCTTTGTCCAATCTTATTGAAAAGTATCATCTTTTTGACATCTTTGAAGATAATATTTTCCTGATTTTTATCGAGAGTTTTCTTAAATGACTTCGGTCATTTAAGATGTAATTAACTATAGGGGTTTCCCTTATAAGAAGCCTTTCCGAACCCAGATTAATATAAACTCTATTTAATTCTTCATATTAGATAGGGAAATTATCAGCAAATAAAACGGTTTCGCAGACCAAATGGACGTCATATATTTCTTAGTTTATTTGATCGAGCCTCATCCTCAAATCATGTGTTTATCCTTCGGGATTTTGATTTCAGTGGCCGACTTCTTCCAACGGGCAACTCCACAACCTAAAATAGTGTCGAGACAAATATTAAAAAAAAGTTTCTTGCACAAGCAATAATTGAAAATTTTTATGAATCATGCAAGATATTTTATCTGAATGATACAAAACTTGAAAATTTTTTACATAAGAAATAAGGAAATTCTTATTAAACTCAAATTTATTAAGAAGAGAATAAGAGAAAGAATATTTAAAATAAAGATGGTCATGTGCCTATTAATTATTTCCACATAAAACACAAGTATTATTAACATTCATTCCTTTGTGATAAAGATTGTCACATGTCTTAATCCTTTAGGAATAAATTTCTAAGTGTGATAAACAAACATAATAAAATTTATTTTTTACCAAACCAATTTAAACTAGTCAATAAAGGAAAAGAATTATAAAGGGAAAATAAATAATCTTATGAGAATAAAAATTCTTCTTTTTCCGAAGATTAGCATCTCCACAAATAATAGAAATGTTGTTAATGAGAATCAGAAAAAAACTCAAAACATTACTAAAATTGGAAATGTTTCATCTACCATCAACCATAACATCTTTGAGTATGACAGATCGAGAAAGATTAAACCAAGTAAAATAATATCACAATAATGATCTTCAAGGGATTAACCATTAAACCAAGGTTCATTAAAAATGAATAAGTTACTATTACGATTAACTTTGAACTTTAGATTAGTCATCATCTTAGAAACAATTTTAACAATTTTTTGTTGAACAAATTAGATGAAGCATGAGAATTATTCCATATAGAGCAATAATGATTAAAAAAAACTAAAGAAAGATAAGATCTATTATTATAAAATTTTTGTAAATTTTATACTTACACAAAATATTTAAATTATCCAAATACGGGATACCAAGACCACCATTACACTTAAGCATAACAGTAATATTTTAAGCAATAGTATAAATCTTTCATTACTGTCACTATTTCAAAGAAGATTAGAAATCATAGAAGTAATTTTCTTTTTCAAAATTTTAGTTAAAACAGTAGAATGAAACCAATAATGCAAATAACCAAGAATAGTAAAATTAATAAGTTGTAATTTATAAGCAACACATAATAACTTTTGTTTCCCACCAACCACTTGATTAATTTGTCAATAAGAGAGTGAAAATTAGCGATAACTAATTTAAAGACTTAATAACATCCTCCACATAACTCCAAAATAATGTTTTTTTAGTAAAACCAAAAATATTTGAAATCTAAATTTGAATAAGTTTTTCCACATGTTCACAGAAAGTAATAATAGATTTGAAAGCCTTAACATAAAGATTAGATGCTTTACTAAAATTATTTAAAATTTTATTAAAAGGAAAATAATATATAAATTAGCTTTCCCAAGAAAAAAAAAATATCAACAAGATAAATTAAATCATAAATATCATGATTACAAACATCATAATTCAATTAAGTATCAATAAAATAGAAAGAGCATCAATGACAATAGCTAATAAGTTAAGGGAAAGCGAGCAACATTGTCTTAAACTAGAATTAGTGGTAAAATACCCTTTAATTTCACTATTAATAAGAAAAAAATTAACATCTCTAGTGTAAATAATGATCTAATTAATAGACTTTTGAGGAAATCAAAGTTTTCTCATTCTCCCTTAAGAAGGAAAATCTAATAACTTTGTCAAAAGCCTTTAAAATGTCAATTTTAAAGCAAATTTTTTAGCATAATTATTAGAATTAAAACCATAAAATAATTCATCAGCAAGAATAATATTATCAGTAATATAACAACCTTTAATGAAAACATCGTGAGCAGGATGAATAAGATTAGAAAGAATAACTTTAAGTGTTTTAGTTAAAAGAACAATAATGACCGTATAAAAAGAGTGAAATAAGGATATATGCTGAGAATCGGAAAGGATTTAACATAAGAACTTTAGGAATACTCATAATAGACATATGTTTAATTCTGTGGCAAATTTTGGAAGAAATAAATATTTAATAACAACAAGACGATTAGATCCAATTGCTAACAATCTTTACAAAAATTAAAGGAAAAACCATCAAACCTAATGGGATTTATCAAAGGCAATTGAATAGAAAACATTTTTAACATCATCATCAATGAAAATTCAAACCATAAAGAAAAAATCCTCAAGAGAGAAAAAGTGATTTATAAGAAAAGAATCCATAATATTATTGCTAATCTCAATATGATTATTCAAAATGCAAAAAAATTATTAAAATATAGTTACAATTAACTATATCTTATTATTTATAAATATAGTTACCATTAACTAAAATTTAATTAATAAAATTGGAATTACATCTAGTATTAACCTTTTAATAAAGATATTTAAAATCATCTTGAACTTTTGAATGTCAAGAACTTTTACCTCTTTGCTTGGCTCACTTAAAATCATAAATAATAGCATTAGAAATATTTTTTTTAATAGATGAAGCATGATTAAGTAAATCTACAGAAAGATGTTGATATTCAAATTTAGACATGATTAAATTATGTTTATGCTTAAGTTTAGAAATATGAACAAAAACAACATTTCTTATCGTTAAGTGCAATTTTAACTTTACAAAGCTTATTACAAACAACAAAGATAGGATCCCTATTAACTTGATTATTATAAGCATAAGAAATTATAGAAAAGAAATTAGGACATAAATTGCAGAAATTCTTGTACATAAATTTGTTACTCGACTTATTGGAATTGCCCATAAAATAGTAATCTGATGGTGATCAGATGAACAAGTATTTAAGAATTTATAAAATGAATTAGGAAAATCATTTAGCCAATAAGAATTACAAAGAACTTTATATAGAAAATATTATAGAATAATTTAATTGATTATTAAACCAATTATAAAAATATCCAAAGTTATAAGACCTGCCAAAGGGATCTAATTATTAAAATCCAGAAGCTTGTTAGGTAAAAGAGGCAAACCCCCAAATTTCTCATATAATATACGAACACAATTAAAATCTCTTAGATGGAGCCATGAAGCAGACACATTATCAGTTATAATAATAAGTGAATTTCATTACGTTTTTTAATTAGTAACACTATTATCAACATAAATAACAAACACATAGATACTAATAAATGAAGAATAAATAGTATGCTCATGAATAAACTAAGGATTATTATAAATAACATAGAAATTAAAAGTGCTTGTATTCAATTTAATCCAAATTCAACCATGATCAGCTACATTGAAATTATCACAATTTATTCATTAGAATATTAAAATGATTAAGAGCAAAAGGATTATTAATAATATCAATAGAAACTCTGGTTTTTAAAATACAAAGAAGATCAATTTATAATCCTTTTAGAATCTATTACAATAAGCAATACAAACATCACTATTAAGTGCTCTAACATTCCAAGCAAACCATTTTAGAAAAAAAGACAAGAAATTAAAATAGAAAAATAAAAAAACTTACAAAGAAAAACACAGAAATTATTCACTCAATCCTTATCTAGCTCGGGATAGAGTAGGAAAAGAAGTAGCATTCCTATAAATAAAAAAACTTCCAGTAAAATTATTAGAAATAACATGACAATGAAAATATGATTACCAATCCCACTAGACTGATTTGGAACAATAAGGTCATTAGGACGATGTTCAATTTGAATTAAAGCCCTACTACCATTTAGATTAAACACAACATCTTCATAAATAATAATATAATTAGAAGAAACTTCAACAATATTTGACGTATGTAAATCAGGAGCATGGTTAGAAGTTTCCAAATTTTCATTACTAATTGAAACCACATCCACTTAAATATTAAGATCGAGGGCAAAAATACTAGAAACATTAAGAGTATTAAAAGTATTATTAGAAGAACCATTTACAATTCCAACATTATTAGCATTAGTATTATTATTCAAAACATTAAAAACTTGAAAAGATTGAGCTAAATTAACATATTAGCTTTTGTTTCTTTGTAAACCTCAAAATTAAAATTCCTATTAATATTTCTTTCTTGAAAAGTAGGATTATGAGCAATATTAGGCTAAGAGGAAGATTTAGGGTAGCCAATAGAATTATGAGAAAAAGTAGAACATGTTTTGCATGAAGTACACTTCCATTCATATAAAATTAAAAAAGAAAAATTCTTACCCTTCACACTTAAAGTAATAGTAACACGAGGAGTAAATTTAACATTAATTTGTATGTTAACCTGATATCGGGAAGTGAAAATTCAACATTAATTTGTATGTTAACCTGCGCAAAGGTTAACCGAGTACCTCTAATGGTTAAAAGAGAACTGTAGGATCAACCATATTCTTGCTAGCAATTTTTAAAATTCCAATTTTAGCCAACTAAACTAATGCGAGATTAACAAATTTTAGTCCCTCTTCCCGCTTTCGATACATCAGTTTAGGTCGGCTGTTCCCATCCGCAGGACGCTCTCTCTCCTTGCTTCACTCCATTTAAAGGCTAAGAAAAGTCCTCTCTCTTCATCCTCCGTCAAAGAAGTAAGCAAGTCTCCTTCCTCCTGCCGAACCTATTGGTTGTTGTATCCCTGAAAGTTAGTTTCTTCCGTATCGATCACTTTTTCCATCCTGCAAAACAAGCAGACGTGCCCTAACCTTGTAATTTCTTAATATCCAGTATAAGTGCTAGGAGTTCCTTTCATTCATGTTTGGCATTACTCCTATAGATGTTGTTTTCTGCTGTTGTTCTCTCTTTCCTTTTCAAGGAGAACATGCCCTAACCTTGTATTTCCTAAAACTCTAGACGGAATGCAAGTTCATGTACATTTCATATATTTTTGTTTCTTTATATGTAGTATTATTTCTGTAAAGGTTGTTTTCTACTGTTATTCCACTCCGTCATTTTCCAATATAACTCTCATAGTATTTATGAAGCCATTAATGGACAGTTAGCACTTTTTCTGATAAATTTTCTTTGGAAGAGCAAAATTATACACATATGTGCTGGGTATGTTATTATTAATTAACTTTATAAGAATTTCAAGGTATGTAAATATATGTTATTATTTCTGTTATCAGGGCCCAGTTGCTGAATCGGAAATCATTAATCCACTTCAATGCAGAAAAATAAATTCTTTCCATATTCAATACATAATGAAGCTATAGAACTTCAATATTTTATAGCAGTAGTATAAAACTCTCTTATTCATACAGCTTCTTCTACCAATCATATTGTTGGCATCTCTTTTGATGCATTTAAAAGCCAGTGCACTTGTTCATAAGGCTCCGGATCCTTATTTGTGTCTGATGGGTTACCACACCTTTGATTCCTTAAACAGAGTGTGGTGCCATAGCGCTGACTCTAGTATCGCGACCCTGCGGGTGAAGGGATACATCTTTATTTAAATGCGTGCCGTTATGGCTCTAGGGCTTTAAGATTAGGTGCCACTGTGCCACTGTACCACTTTATGATTTTAACTTTGACATTAGCGCTTCAACGACATTGAATTGACCAAAGGGATACTATCGTAGTTTCATACTCAGAGTCACGTCGCCCCATTATGATTTTAATTTTCATTGTTGGCGCTTCAACTGTGTTGACCTGGTCAAAGGCAGCATCATGGCACTATGCTTACTGTTGTGACACTCAATTAATAAAAATTATGGCAACCATACATACAAATATAAATTGATGGTCCGGTGTGACCTAGAAGGGCCTGACGCTATGACGTCATCCCCCAATATCGTGGCACCATAACGCCATCATCAAGCGTCATGGCGCCAAGGCTCTATCACCCAATGCCACATCTCCTGTATATATAGGGGGTTGAGTTTGACGTTTTTCATGTTTAGAGGTTTCCTGGGTCAAATTCCCATGGGTTTGCCCCTTCCCTCCGGTATTTCCCGGTACTAGCTTGCATAATGCTGCCTTGTAGACATTAGAGAGCTGCATCACTAGTGCCTGATGACATAAAATACAATAGGACCCAGTTCATTAGCCATGCAACAACCAAAAGGTATTCATCTTTTCTCCTCAACCAAGATATCATTCTCAATGTTGTTTCTCCGAGCTTGATGGTGGTGTAGTGGGCACTATAGAGAGGCAGGTCTAGGAGAATATCTTGCAAGCTCCTAGCCTCATAGTGATCCCAATTTTCTGCGAGTTCATGAATAATGCCAGGGAACCCACATATGATGGAGCATTAGTTAAGGGACGTTTGGTGAGCTTTGATCAGGTGATGATTAATAGTGTGTACGATTTGATAATGTCAGGGAACCCACATATGATGGAGCATTAGTTAAGGGACGTTTGGTGAGCTTTGATCAGGTGATGATTAATAGTGTGTACGATTTGACTGGATATGCCATTGATTAGTATAACAATCTTTTGGATCAAAACCATAACTATAGTCAGATGTTTTGTTGCTTTTCCCAAGGCACTCTGACACCTAGTTGAGGGTGCATTATGGGAAGACCTTAAACTTCTCTAAAAGCTCTCTCGACCAAGTGTGAAAGTCTGACAATCGTTTACAGCCAAGCTGTTATCGAGCTCGCACTTGAGCAATATAAAGAGGGAGCATGTATTGCTCAACTATGCGATCCAACGAGATTTGATGATTGATGTAGGTTGCATTTTCTAAGGGTTGATTGCCTATATGACTCATGGTCACAATATAGTAAGCATTGGCTACACCTTCTTGATACGTGCCCTGTATATTAGAGAAAGGTTAGAGGTCCACCCAAGGTAAGAGCAGGTGGGCCTCAAGCAGCCCATTAGCGGGTCCAATGTACTTGATCAGCACACCACCACAGTAGTTATTACCCCTCCTCATGCCCGCTCCATTCATGAGTAGTGCAGTACCTTTGAGGAGACATTACATTTTTTATCCAGAGGATCGACACCCATGGCTACCAACTTACACACAGAGCGCTAGTTCTAGAGTTAGTTCACCTGAGAAGCTTAGAAATTCCAACAATTCTTTGGTGGCAGCTAGGCGGGTGATGCACCATCACCTCAAATATATATAAATTTTTTGATTGGGCCCAGTGGGACTATCAGTGATGATGTTTATGTGGGAGATGAAGACGAGGATGTAGACCTCTCAACCTCCTTTTCCACCCTTGAGGGATTATCGTGTCTTTTTTACTGCTCTATCTCTTGTCATGTACTGTGAGCCCCTAGGGGCATGTTATGTTGTATTTGTATCCCCTGCACGAAATTATTCTCATTTGGACTCTGTATTACGGTGCACTATATATGGACCTCTTTATATGTCTATATGAGATTATATGTTTCATGTTTGTTTTATTTTTCTCAATAGATTGTGTTGAGAATGTGTGATAAACCCACATAATTGGTCAAAACAAGGGTCTAACACCTAAGCACTACCTTGTGGTGCCTTAATGCTATGGATGTTTTCATACATAATTGTCGATCTTGAGCATCATTGTAGTGCCTAGGTGTGAGTGTCTAGCATTACAGTATCAGATAAGCATACAAGAACCACATGATTATATCGTGGCGCATAAGTTATTCTGTCCAAATTTGGGGGCTGCCCCCAATTGGACAACGATCGTAATCTTGTTTGACATGACACTCGCCACATCAGCAACATCGAGACACTTATGCTTGGGGCTGCGAAACTAGGTCTATATTATTGCCTAAGGCAGCTTATGATTGGATAACTCAGATGTGGCACTCATCACATCACTAGTGCCACAACACCCAACACTTTGAGTCGCATCGCCATGCTGGTCAGAGCCTAATCTCCCAAGATTATAACTTTGTCCGGTTGTATGATGTGGCATGCGCCTTTCAGCAGTGTCTATGCACCCTGCTCTACACCACGACCCCGAAATGAACTTTTGCCCTCTAAAATGAGTAGCCTTTGGCTAGCACACGATTGGGTTTTTGCATTACTCCTTTTGAGCTGTCAACCCATCGATAGATTATGTAGAAATCTCATCCCCTCTCCTCTTTTTTGACCATCGATTGTCGTAGCAATCAGGGCTGCCTGGTTATGTGTCCAAAGGGGCCTATGGAAGGATTCGGAGCACATGATACCCTAGACATGACTTTCAACCTCTATGTAGGAGAAAATGCCTCCAACTCAAATCTCTTTCTCTTCTTTTTATAGCCCTAGGGTTATGTTAGCGGAGTTAAGATAGACTGTTATTAGAGGATACCTAGGTTAAGTTCCTCATTTTCTCATCACGTCCCATTTTTAGCACGTTCTCTAGCTTTAGAGCCTTAGTTTTAGCCCTAACATCCTGCCATCTTTGAGCTCCCAGGCGTTGGTTCATCATTAGTTAGTAGCATGTTTTTGCCTCCAGAGTGTCGTGATGTCGCCTACCTCGGCTTTGTTGGGTGCCAAAGCTCTGTGCTTTAGTGTCACTGCACTAGCTATGCATATTTTATGTTCGAGGTTGTGACGCTGATCTCAGTGTTGTGGCCTAAACGTACCTCATGTATGTTTGGGCTAGGGCCGTGATGCTGTTTATGGCGCAGTAGTACTATACCTTAGCTTATTTCAGCCTAACGCCATTACTCTTTATATAGAGCCACAATACCTTATTGCGAGAGGTCTCGAGTTCAATTCTCGGAATGCCCATGCCCCAAAAACATCTTTTAACACTGCCGTTGTCGGTCTCAAGCCCGGATGTGAAAAGTGGAGGGTTGCGTTAGGTAGTCGTTAGCGTTAGGTAGTCGACAGCTAGCGTAAAACTTGTCGAAAAAATCATGACATGAATCCTTTCGATCATTGTGTAAGTGCTAGAGAGTCCCCTGGAAGCGACGTGCTGTATAGCCCAAATATTGTGAAAAGTGTGCAAGGGCCGCTACACCGACGCCCGGGTGTAGTGTTAAATAAACAAGGGTTCCCATAGTACGGGCGAATGCGGGTAAAGAAGTTAGTCCATGAAACTTATAAATTTAATATTAGGATATGATCTTGGAATATAGATACTCTCAATGATAAATTAATTGAATTAGTTGATATTATGATTCATAGGAAAGTTAATATCTTATGTATTCAAGAAACTAAGTGGGTTGGAGAAAAGACTAAGGAGATTGATAATTTAGGTTTTAAACTTTAGTATTCTGGTAAGAGTCAAACTAGAAATGGTGTAGGTGTAATTATATATAAGAATTTGAAAGATAATGTTGTAAAAATTAATAGAGTTGGAGATAAAATTATAGCCCTTAAGATTATCATTGATACTAAGATTTTTAATTTTATAAGTGCTTATGCTCCTCAAGTAGGTTTAGATACAGGGTCTAAAGATAAATTTTGAAATGACTTAAAAAACTTATTACAAATGATACCTCTTGAAGAAAAAATTTTTATTGGAGGAGATTTAAATGGATATGTCGGTAGAGTGGTAGAAAATTTCAGAAATACTCATGGTGGCTGCGGTTTTGGAGTAACTAATGAAGAAGGTAGAGCTATTTTAGATTTTGCTTTAGCATATGATTTTGTTATTACTAATACTTTATTCAAGAAAAAAGATGAGCATCTTATTACTTATAAGAGTGGATCTAATAAAACACAAATTGATTATTTTCTTATGAGAAGAAGAGATCGTCGCGATTGTAAAGATTGTAAGGTCGTTCCAAGTGAAAATTTAAGTATCCAATATCGTTTATTAGTTCTAGATTTTAAGATTAAGAGTTATAAAATAAAGAATACTATGACTCATCATCGTAGAATTAGATGGAGAAACTTAAAAAACACAAATAAAATTATTTTTATGAGTAAAATTTAAGATTTCAAAATTTGGGATATTCATGAAGAAACAAATGTTATATGGGATAAAGTAACAAACACTTTTAAATAGGTAGCAAAAGATGTGCTTGGAGAATCAAAAGAAAAAGTTTTTATAAATAAAAATAATTGGTGGTGAAATAATAATGTGGAAGAAAAGATAAAATATAAGAAGTTATGTTATAAAAATAGGTTTAAATGCAAAATTTTAGCGAACTGGGAAAAATATCAAACGGCCCTCAGGGAGTCTAAAATAACATTCTGTGATGCTAAAAATTCTACTTTTAATGATCTTTATAATATATTAGATATTAAGGAGGGTGAAAAATATATGTATAAATTAGCCAAACAAAGAGAAACGAAAAATAAAGATTTAACCCAAGTAAAGTGTATTAAAGATGAAAATCAAAAAGTAATTTTCTTAGAAAAGGATATTCAACATAGGATATTCAACATAGGTGAGTGAACATAGGTGAGTGAGTTACTTTGATAAACTTTTTAATGAAGTTTAAAAAAAAATGATCGACCTCAGTAATTTTAATATCGTGAATAATAATAAAACGTTTTATTTTTACCGTTGCATTAATAAAAAAGAAGTTGAGGAGGCTTTAAAAAAAACCAAGGGTGGAAAGTCTGTAGGACCTAATGATATCCCAATTGAAGTGTGAAAATATTTGTGAGATTTGGGAGTTTCTTGGCTTACTAAACTCTTTAATATTATTTTAAAAACTAAAAAGATGTTTGAGGAGTGGAGGAAGAGTATTTGAGTTCCCATTTTTAAGAATAAATGGGAGGTACAAGAGTGTGCAAATTATAGAGGAATTAAGTTGATGTGTCATACTTTAAAGTTATGGGAGAGGGTAATTGAACATAGGTTAAGACGCATCACAAAGATTTCTCATAATCAATTTAGATTTATGCCGGCCAGGTCTAATATACATTTATTGAGAGGTTTGATGGAGAAGTTCAAAGATAATAAGGAGAATCTACATTTGATTTTTATTGATTTAGAAAAAGCTTACGATAAGGTTCCAAGAGATATCCTTTGGAGAGTTCTTGAGAAGAAAGGTGTTGATATGACTTACATTCAAGTCATTAAAGATATGTATGCTAGAGTTGTTACTTTTGTTCAAACTGAAGGAGGATTGACCAAATATTTTCCTATTTCTGTTGGATTAGATCAGGGATCAGCTTTAACCCATATCTTTTTGCTTTAGTTATGGATGTTATTACTGGACATCTACAGGAGGATGTACCTTGGTGTATGCTTTTTGCTGATGATATCCTTCTCGTGGATAAAACGAGAGAAAAAACTCAGGAAAAACTTAAATTATGGAGGTCTACATTGGAGTCTAAAGGCCTTCATTTAAGTAGAACTAAAACTGAATACATGGAATGTAATTTTAGTAATAATAGTTCTAGTGATAGAAGTGTGACTTTGGGTGATCAAATTATTAAAAGGCTTGAACGATTTAGATATCTTTGGTCCGTTGTTCAAAGTGATGGTGATATAGATGGGGATGTTAATAGTAGAATTCAAGTTGGTTGGTTGAAGTGGAGGAATGCTTCGAGCCTTTTGTGTGATAGAAAAGTACCGCTTAGACTGAAAGGAAAATTTTATAAGACGGTGGTGAGACCTGCAGTGCTATATGGCGCTGAATGTTGGCCTTTAAAAGAGAAGCATAATAATAAGTTAAGTGTTGCCGAGATGAGAATGATTAGGTGGATGAGCGGCTTTACACTTAGAGACAAAATGCGAAATGAATATATTCGTGATAGGGTTGGTGTAGCTCCTGTGATGGAAAAAATTAGAGAAAGTCATCTTAGATGGTTTGGTCACATTAAACGTTGACCATCTGATGATCCGATTAGGAGAGTAGATGCTTTAGATTCGACTCGTATTAAGAAAGGAAGAGGTAGAACTAGGAAGACTTGGGTTTATTGTATTAAAAATGATCTTAATTTACTAGAACTAAATGAAATTATGACACTAAATAGGATAAATAAATGGAGAAAAAGGATTCATGTAGCCGACCCCACGTAGTGGGATTAAGGCTTTGTTGTTGTTGTTGTTGTAATACCAGGGCTATGACGCCATCCTTTGGCATGGGTGTGCTAAGGCTCAATTGATGTTATTTGCATCTTTCATGTCACATAGTTGATGCACCACTTTGTGTAAGACAATGAATAAAGGACACTTGTTGATCGATCTGGTTTGACTTTCACTGAACTCAAGTTATTAAGTTCAATAATCTTAATTTGGGTGGAGATCCTCACTTTGGTTTTATTTGCAGCCAAGTTCAGTGTGTTGAACAAACTGTCCTTTGTGCCATTATACGCCGAATGGGAATTTTGGGTTTTTTTTTTTCCATGAATCAAGTGTAAGGGTGTTGTTTTTGCTCATTCAATTAATCAATAGGACTTACATCACTTATATCGTCGTCAACATAATTAATTGCGTGCCTGCTCTTCCATTTTATTCTTTTGCAAATCACCTATGTGAGCCATGTAGGGGAACATTCCAGTCCTGACACTAGTTAGGTATAAGTTATGTTAGGCATTTGGGGCGTTAGAATAACCTATTTCATGTCTAGGGAGTAAATGGGGCTAGCATCTAGACGTTGCCTATTTGCGCAAGGGTGACATCTCTTTTTCCTTCTAGGTCTTAGAGATTTCTATATTATCATATCTATGGCATTGTAGCACCTTCCATACAATGACGGAAAAGTGCTTGCATCCATGTATGCGTGCATGTTTTATTTTCATTTTTATGCATTTATCCTTTTGAGATAAACTTTAGCAGCATTTTAAACTATGTAATTGATTTCCTGTTGTTTATTATCTTGCATGATTTTTGTGTTGGATTTAAAATTATCATGACTGCATGAATAGACCCCCCACCCCAGACATATTAATAGGGCATCCACACTTAGGCATCTTAGATAATTTCATATCTTATTGCATGTCCCAAGAGAATGCTCTTTTTAAATTCTTAAAAGGTTTTGTCTAGCAAGTTTACGGTGTTAAAAGCGTTCCCGATCCAAACGGGATTGTAGGCCCTTGTAGGGCTACTTAGTTTGTAGTTGGATTGCCTGTTTCTCCTTTTTTCTGTTTATGTTTCTTTTTCATTCCCTTAGCAGAGATAATCCCCACTCTACCTTTCAGTCTGGGTAAAGCTATTGGAATCTTGACATTTTGCTCATTTGACTTTAGGTCTACTGGATCACTTCAGACGATGCAACAAATGAGTTACTAATGAAGTGATTCTTAGTTGGGTTGGGTTTACTACCTTCATGATTTATTAGACTTAAGGTCCTAATAGTCTAGGAGGATCGATTCATAGACCTCCGACTAAGCTATCTCTACCTGCTTAGGCTCTTCTGGACCTACCAGTTGAGTTAACTCCTTTTAGCGCTTTCATTTCCTTTGTTGACTTAGTGGGTGTGTTTCGTAGAACCTTTAAGCTGAGTGACTACTTGTTAGGTTACGATGACTCGTCCTCTACCTGGTGTTCTAGTTTCACCCTGACAGCTAGAGATTTCCCCTACTGGAATAGTTGAAAATCTATTTGGCTATCTGCTCTTAAAGGCTTTTCTTGCAAACATAACATCTTTTATTATGAGTTTTCCTGGGTATTACGCATATCGTTATTGATTATGAGGATACATCATCGTGGGAGGTCTCCTTGAACTAGAACAAAATAAATTTGATTTTTTTCCTCTGATTCGTATGTATGGGTCTCGTTTCTCATATATTCTTTTTGGTTAAGTGTTGATTTTTTTCCTCTGATTCGTATGTATGGGTCTCGTTTCTCATATATTCTTTTTGGTTGAGTGTTGTCCAATTTTTCTTTTGGGCCACTTTTCTCCTATTTATATTATGAGAATTATTTTGTATGAATTTCTTCGTATTTGCCTTCTTCCTTAGGTTTCTTAATGTCAGTTCAATTTGTATTCCCTCCATCTCGCTCCATTTACATGGAAGCTACTTTGAGAAAGGGAATTTTGAAGAGAGTCATAAATTAAAGGCATCGGGTGTTTGTGTTTTTCCATATGCACGGCATGAATGATAAAAAGGGGCGTGAACACTATTATGATGACCCTATGGCCTCTTGCAAGAATATGACGAAGAAGGTGAAAAAAAGAATGGGCTGAATTATTTGTTCTACATTAGATTTCTTGAGTTTGTATTTTGTTGGTATTGCTTTTTTATTTATTTTATTGATTGTTCTTATTAATCATCAAAACATAAGCTCCAGGCAATCATCATCAATAAGGTGTTCCGTCCAACGTATCCCAATGCACTGTAATAGTGACATTCAATGCGTAGTTTACACTTGCCAGAGGGGACCAAATGGTGCAAGAAAATTTTATCAATGCTAAGGATCCAATCAAAAGACGATTGTGGATATTTCATGTGGTTGGATGTAACTGAAGTTACAAAGCATGATATTCTATGTTAGCTACAAGATCAATATTAGATGATCAGAATAAATTTGAAGTCCATCTTAGCTAAAATACCTATTTTCATAGGAATCGTTGTAGCTTTCATATATATTGTATGTGTTTAGAGAAGATGTGTTGTTTCTGTTTTGAGTGTTTCAAGTCGTTTGTGCACTGCAAGTTTTCTCAGGCGGCAAATGTCTTCTCGCATTTTGATTTGTAGTCA